AGTAGCCAACGGATCGATGGATGAACTTGTATTAGGCGTGCTTGTTCCCTTTGCCTCAGACATTTAACAAGAGCCAAAAGCATTACCAGTAATATGGACACCGCGAGGGCTACAGAAAAATTAAAAGATTCAAGGAAAAGGAAAAACTAACTCTTGAGTAGGAATCTATATGTATTGTCTGTGGTAATATCTTAGTCAGAAAAATATGATTTTAATTTCGTTTTCTTTAATCGGTTTGATGTTTACATTAATTAATAAGCTTCTTGTCTGAACTCTTCATCACTTGGTTACATAGGTCGGATACCTGAGTAGGCATGTAGCGGGAGGCCATATTCGTTTCGTTTTGTTATGGATGTAACATGTAACATGTATGTCTACCTGATATTCTAAGTCTGTTGCTTTGAGCATGTTTCTGTACACCATAGTTCTTAGAAGACATTCAAACCGAATGGATAAAGGCGAAACACAACGATATCACGGGTGCAGCCAGGCTAAAGTCCTGTACGGTTGGGCCTACAATTTTACTTTCGCCTGTTTGACTCTTAAAATAGAACTCTCGCAAATTTTAAAAGAAAAATTGAACTGTCTCATGGTGGAGGCCCACGACAATTTGAAAAGCTGGTTACGCTCCTGATATAATAAGACATTTTAGTCTGCATGCTGTTCTACCCATTGACGTTATTCCTTATTATCAATAATAATATAGCTTAGTAAATGTTTTGGTTAGAAATGCTCTACCGGTTTTAAAACTAATGTTTAGCTCATTACCATGGTAGTTTTTTAGTTTGTTCGGAGCTTGTTCTTAGTTTAAAAGGAATTCGATGTCCTGAATAAATTCCTTCTCCGCTTCTATCTCAGTTTTTCCCAAAACTGCGATGTGATAATAGGACATAAATCATAGCTGACGGAAGCAAATGTTTAATTAACGCTTAAATTAAGTTTCGAAAGTTCAGTTTCAATGATATCTCTAGTTTAGAAAACAGACAAGCAAATATTGAACAAACACCTAGAATTTAATTGGGAGAAATCCGTTAAATCAATTATCAGAAATCTTAGCGGCAGTATAACAATGATCTAAAAGCTCATTTTAACAATGTTTTTTGACTCGTAATATTAATAATAATAGTTTAATATTTGTAGTGCGCAAATTCCATTTACACATGATCAAATGCGCAAATGTGACTCGTTTGAGAGAATCACTCGCCCTATAATTGCTTTTCATTCGAACGGAAAAGGAAAAAGCATCTATGACAGGAACAACTCAGACACATGTACGGGTCAAGACTATCTCAAAATTTTACTTCTCTCTTTTCCGAATTTTTCTGCTCGATACCAAATTTAGATCAATACATCTCTAATTGAAAAGAACAAAAAGGGCTGATGATGCGATCACAGTAGTAGAACATCAACGCGCTTTAGTAAGAATTATCAGAGATTTATCAGTAAAACAAAGATTTAGATAGCTCATATCTAGAATTTTGTTGAACCCTTTTAAGAGTAATTCGCTCTCAGATTGCGTTTTAATCATTGAGAACGATGAATCATCTAACATTTGACAAGAAAGACTTAGACAAGTGTACCGGTCAAAACATCATTCACTAGATTTTTGGTAGCAGGGTGGTAATCTAAATAGTTCATTACTTACATATTACGAGTCAAATTGTTTCATTTCACAAGTATCTTTAGTTGAAAATTGCAAACTAAGGTAAAAATGCAGAAAAATTGAAAAACTTACTGGTAAAGACGTTACTTATGAAAGATTTGGTAGATATAAAATGATCTAAGTAGCTAATTTCTTGAATTTTTGTAACTCTCATGAGAACATTATGGTAGTTAAAGGTAGAGTGACGTGATTTCCGCAATGTTTCGACGTTTGTCATAATCGCAGATTATTAAAAAGAAATTAGAAAGATGTTTGGGTAATGAGTAACAAGAACAATTTGAATAGTTCATTCCC